CTCTCTCTCTCTCTCTCTCTCTCTCTCTCTCTCTCTCTCTCTCTCTCACACACACACACACACACACACACACACACGTACGTGGTATCTGATCATGTCACAAGCATTGTTGCAAGAGCTCTTAGTTCCCAGTTAAAAACACCACAGCGGCTTCTCAGTTCTCCTTTGGCAATTTGACGGTAGGCATTAGCACAATTAGATTATTCCGTCATCTGCAATCATACTTCCTCATTGTTGGGGAGGGAATGCTCCAAACCAGAACGTCAAATGGCTTGGTATTTTTGATAGCCCTCCAAGTCTGGAACTTTTTGTGCCTATAAACATTAACCTTCCCTGGCTTCCTAATACCCCATTCCCTGTGATCTACCAAAACAGTAAAGCTGCATGTACTTGATTACATTAGTGTCTGCAAATTTGCAATTGGCATCAGACTCACCTGAAATACTACTCTAACTTTTTATTGTTTAGACCTTTTATTTCTTCTTTTAAAAAGCTATTAAAGGTTGTGTCTGATCCCCCAGATTTTATTTTTTATTTTATTTTTTTTAAAGATTTTATTTATTTATTTGAGAGAGAGAATGAGAGAGAGAGAGCGCACACATGAGATGGGGGAGGGTCAGAGGGAGAAGCAGACTCAAGCCCGATGTGGGACTCGATCCCGGGACTCCGGGATCATGACCTGAGCCAGAGGCAGTCGCTCAACCAACTGAGCCACCCAGGTGCCCCTGATCCCCCAGATTTTAGTTTGCCCTTAAGTATTAGGTATTAAATATTGATATTAAAGATATCGAGTGTGTTTTGTGTTTTCAAGGCTGAAAAGAAATTTGTGACTTTGTTTTTTTGAAGATTTTATATATTGATTTGAGAGAGAGAGAGAGACGGAGACAGCATGAGCGGGGGGGGGAGGGGCAGAGGGAGAGGGAGAAGCAGACGCCCCACTGAGCAGGGAGCCCGACGCAGGGGCTCGATCCCAGGACCCTGAGATCATGCTCTGAGCCAAAGGCAGACAATTAACAGACTAAGCCATCCAGGGGCCCCTTGTGACATTTTTTAATAGGGTGTATACTATTAATTTCCAGCTTTAAATATGATTGGATGACATCTCCTAATTATTGGCTGGGAAAGACATCTTGTGCATTCCATGTCTTTAAAACAGTTTTGCTGAGATAATTCTCCCTCCCCTCCTCATTAGGAGGGTGATCAAGTGGAATGGTCCTCCTGCTGGATCCAGTATACTTTCATAGATTTATTTTTTTTTTAAAGATTTTATTGATTTATTTGACAGAGAGAGACACAGTGAGAGAGGGAACACAAGCGGGGGGAGTGGGGGAGAGAGAAGCAGGCTTCCCGCGGAGCAGGCAGCCCGACGTGGGGCTCGATCCCAGGACCCTGGCCGAAGGCAGACGCTCAACGACGGAGCCACCCGGGCGCCCCTACTTTCATAGATTGAATAAAACTTTTTATACCTTTTACTCTTGTCCTGTTTTCCCTAAGAAGTATCCCTGACCAGGTTGCAGTGAGCTTTAGTTCTTTCTGTTTCCAAGACCAGTGTGCCCTGGGGAAGCAGTGTGGAGAGATGTGGAGTGTCGGACTCGACCATTGGATGTGAGCCAGCTCATTCCTTATCTTTCGGGAGATCTGGCCTTTAAATAGGTGCCCCCAACCCACGTGTATTCTGTGGAACTCCAGCTCCGCAAAACACAATGATCCTTGAACAGAGTGCTCCAAGGTCGAATTAGCTCAGAAACTGGGTATGTTCTCTCTTTCTCTTCTTAGAGGGGACATGATGCACTCGAGAGGCTCTGAAATCTTGTGGTTAAAAGAAAAGCAAGGGGACCCTGCTTAACTTCTCTGGAGGAGGCATTTCCATTTGATCCTGCCACCTTTTTAGTGGAATACCCATTCACTTCCCCACAATTTGTGCACTGGAAAATGCTGCTTTAAATCATTTACTTGTAGGTAATTCTTGATTTAAATGACATCCAGAGAACAGAATGGGATGGATGTTGCTTCGGATACTCCATCAGTATAGGTAGTTTCTTGTTAAAGGAAACTTCGTGTGTTCTGTTTCTGAGGATGGTTTCTGTTAGACTGCTCAGCTTTCATATACAAAAGAAAGTGTAGTATAAAGCAAGGAAGTCTGTACAGGACAGAAATGGGTATAGCTCTCATTAGCATGACTGAACTCATAGATCCTGAGGTGCATTATGGAGCCAAAGAAATTGATATTTTGGGGTTATGGAGAGAGGTGTTGTGAAATTACTTGTTCTTGCCCTTGAAGGGTAAGTATCTCAGGGATGTTAGTCTACTAACTAATGGTATGCAAAATCTCTCTCTCCTCCCCTTCCCTCTCTCTCTCTCTCTCTCTCTCGCTTTCTCCTGTAGAGTTAAATAACCCAGACATGAAAATTCAAAATTTCCTTTTCTGGCATTTGCACCATACTCTTTCAGATAATACCACACCATTATAATTCAATTGGAAAAAAAAATTCACAAAAGTCAGTTATCAAAGGAGGGAAAATTTGTGGGTTTGCTCCCTGTTGAGCAATTTTTGCCTCTCTGATTTATTTTGGAAGGTATTTCTGTCCGCCATGAATTAAAGAATAATGGAAACACAGTTGTTGCTTGTTTTCATAACCTAGATAATTTCACCTGAAAAGAGTCGGTATGTTGGGCATGGCCTATTTACCTTTCAGTTTGCAGACAGGATGTGCTGAGCAAAAAGAAAATAATGTGCAGCCATATTCTTGCCTTTTTTCCATTACATTTTGTTGGCTCTAAGTAGTTAGAACTCCTTTTACTATTCATTTCTGTGAGCCAAATGGATTTTCCAATGCTTAAAAAAGTGAGAGGAAATATAAAACTTTTTAGACCAAGCCCTTCTTTTCCTTGGGGCCTGTTGAGTGACCTTTAAGAAAAGCCCACATACGGCCCGGGAGACGTTTACAGTTTGGAAAGAGTTGCAGTGCATGCGTGTGCCAGTGTGTGTGCGTGTGCGTGTGTGTGTGTTTGTGTTACTTGTGCTCACGTGTGTGCCCACACGGGGTGGCAACTTTCAAAGGAAGCCGAGAACCTGTGATGGTTCTTTCCTGGATTCTAACCGATATCTACGGTAGGGTTTCGGAAGGAACGCTCTCTTTCTACTACCACCTCCATGTTCCCTTTCCAGTGGTGGTGAACCACGCAGATTTAGAGGGAGGGAGACCCCTGAGGCTCAGGGGCAGGCTTCGCCATCCATGAGTGTGACTTTGGGCCAGATCTTTGGCTTCTCTGAACCTTAGTGCCCTCCCCTGGAGGGTGGAGGGAGGTAGGGGAAGATCATGCCGATCTGAGAGCATTGTGCGAGGCATCAGGTGGGAACCCCAGTGCAGACCCTAGCGCAGTGCCAAGTCTCTGATAAGTTGGCATTGTTACTCCTTTCTTTCCTAAGTTCCGTCGGTATGCTGAGCTGTTCTGTGTTTCATAACTGCCTTAGAGAAAGGAAATCCTGTAAAGACTTGACTGTCTTCCTCATTAGCCTTTTATAAAAAGATGGTTATATAGGTGATTTCAGCCTTACTACTATTCTGAGACACCCACAGACTCGCAATTAGGATAGAGAGAGAGGTTTCTCTGTTGGATTTGTCCAAAGATTGGCTGATGGCTGGGTGCTTCAACCGAAGAGGTAAAAGTAGGACTTAGAGGAAAAGCAATATAACTTTAAAAGTGAACAGAAGAGGGTATATACCCAAAGAGTATGAAAACACTAATTTGAAAGGATATGATCCTATGTTTATTGAGGCGTTATTTACAATAGCCAAATTATGGAAGCAGTCCAAGTGTCCACTGATAGATGAATGGATAAAGAAGATGTGATACACACCCACACACACACACACACACACACACACACACACACACACACACACACAGGAATATGACTCAGCCTTCAAAAAGAATGAAATCTGGCCATTTGCAACAACATGGATGGAGCAAGAGGGTATTATGCTAAGTGAAATAAGTCAGTCAGAGAAAGACAAATATCATATGATTTCACTCATATGTGGAATTTAAGAAACAAAACAAATGTGAACAAAGGAAAAAAAGAGACAAACTAAAAAAACCAGATCTTTAACTCTAGAGAATAAACCAGAGGAGTGGTGGATGGGGGGATGGGTGAAATAAAGGGCATTAAGGAGGGCACTTATCATGATGAGCACGGAGTCATATATGGGGCTTTTGAATCACTATATTGTATACCTGAAACTAATGTAACACTGTACACGAACTATACCGGAATTAAAATAAAAATGATAAAAATAAATAAAACCTTAAAAAAATTGTACCCGTGACTAGATCAGCACACTTCTGATGCATGTAAGAGATCAGATGGAAATGTCTCAAGCTACCATTTATTTAAAAGCTACTTCTCCCCAATAAGCATATAGTAATAGAATAACTTGTTGGCTTGATATGTATAGTCTAATGTCGTTTTAAGTATTTTTTATTGGGAATTGTCTGGAACTTCAAGAAATCATGAGGCATTGTAGGCCAGCAAGGTCATAAAAATTTTCTGTCCCCTCCTCTGGTTGTGACCTGCCTTTCCTGAACCTTTCAAATTCTCCAGTTCTCTGCATTCCCCTGTCTTCTAGTACTATGAAATGGACAGAAGTCAACCGGGCCAGTTTAAAGCCCTCTCTTATTCTTTTAGTTTCTGGTACTAAAATATATGTATGGTGGTTCATCTTATGGGTACAGTGAATTTATCTTTGTCAGGGTTTCAGTGGCTTTATCTGTCACTGTTTGTAAATGACTTCAGTATTCTCACTGCTCAAACTCAAGAGTTCCGATGATCGTGCTGTGATAACGTTGTATTTACCAGGCAAGTCACGGATTTGAAATGCAAATTTTGGTGCTATTTTTTCCCCACCACCGAGGGAGCTGCTGCAGGACAGATAGCATCTGAGAAGTGGGAGCAAATTGTAACAGCATGAGAAACGGAGTAGGGACGATTCAAGGAGGAGCTGGCTTTCTAGACCCATGATCTCATCCATGCTTTAGTGCTCACCACTCACTTATTCAACGCAAGTGGTAAAAGGTAGCAAGAGGAAAGGGCAGCAGAAGGAAGCCACAACTCTGTGGGCTTGAGTGACTCTGTTGTAGCTCCTTTTTCTGGATGGTGGTCTGGTTCGGTGTCTACGAGACTACGTCTCAAATCTGGTTGCTTGGGCCTCATTTCTTCCACATATACAAAAATATTTATTGTGCCATGTATAGTTCTGAGGGTCAAGATCTAGTGGTGAACCGTGGAGTCAAGGCCTGGTTTTCAGATAGCTCACATTGTAGTGCAAAGCACAGGTACTGACATGCAAATATGGAAGTCAGATGATGATAGAGGCCCTGAGTTAAAACAGAGCAGGGTGAGGGGGACGGCGAGTGCTGTAGGGGAGGCGGTTGGATGGTTAGGGAAGCCTCGCTGATAAGGGATTACTTGGGCAGAGACCTGGAGGATGGGGGAAGCAAGCTCTGTAGGTATCTGGCCAAAGAGAGTTTTTGGCAGAGGGGAGCAGCGTGGAGGTCCGAAACTGGGATTGTGTTTGGTGTTTAGGTACAGCAAGCAGGGGGAGGGGCAGGGGGAGAGGGAGAAGCAGACCTCCCCACTAAGCAGAGAGCCCGATGTGGGGCTCGATCCCAGGACCCTGGGATCATGACCTTAGTTGAAGGCAGATGCTTAACTGACTGAGCCACCCCGGCGCCCGATTTAACCATGTTTTAAATGGATCACTGTGTTAATAAGGGTTATCCAGAGAAACAAATCCACTGGAGATAGATATACATCTCTCCAGTATGAGATATAGATGGATGTGTGTATATATAAAGAGATTTATTATAAGGAACTTGCTCATGCAATATGGAGGTGAAGTCTCATGATCTCCTGCCTACAAGCTGGAGACTAGCCTCAGGAGAACCGCTGGTGTAAGTTCCAGTCTGAGGGCAGGAGAAGACCAGTGTCTTAGCTCATGCAGTCAGGCAGAGAGAATGAATTCTCCCTTCCTCTGCCTTGTGGGTCTGTTCAGTCTCTCACCTGATTGGGTGAGGCCCACCCATGTGGGGAGGCAGTCTGCTTTCCTACATCTACCAATTTAAATACCTGTCTCATCTGGAAACACCCTCATATAGATCCACCTAGAAATAATGTTGCACCCAGATCTCTGGGCATCCTGTGGCCTGGTCAGGTTGACACATAAAATTAACCATCACAGTCACCCTGACTGCTGCATAGAGCATTAACTACAGGGCCAAGGATGAAGGCAGGGACACTAGAGAGAAGACAATACCATAATCCAGACCAGAGGTGATAGTGGCTTGGACCAGCAGATGATAGCCACTCGTGTGTTTGGGTAGTCTAAGGCTTCATTTTCTTTTATAGAATATAGGGATAATAATAAATCATCTAAGGTTATAGAGAAGATTGCAATAGATAATCTGGGTAAAGCATTTAGTCTAGTGCCTGGAATGCAGCTCTAGCATGTACATAGGTCTCTACTAATTTTAGTGTGATCCTTGAGATTTTGCTTGAAAACCTCCAGGAGTGGGGCATACTATGACACTGGCTATTCAATTACAGAATTTTAATTCTTTTTTTAAGATTTATTTATTCATTTGAGAGAGTGCACGTTGGAGGGTGGGGCAGAGGGAGAGAGAGAGAGAGAGACAGCCTCCCACTCCCCACTGAGCATGGAGCTTGACATGGGGCTCGATCCCAGGACCCTGAGATCATGACCTGAGCTGAGCCGAAATCAAGAGGAGGATAACCGCCCAGGCCCCTCTACAGAATTTAAAGTTCTAAGCTATCTTTTCTTCTATGTCCATTTGAAACCTATTTCCATATAAATTCTACCTATTAGTGCTGGTCTGCTTTCCAGAACAAAACTGGTTGAAATTTAATTTTTATTCTACTCACTTAGCTCTGTATTATTTAAATGAGACTTACCTTACTGTTAGGACAAGATTATTCATTAAAAATTCTCCCACAGTGCTCCATCCATTGTGGGGATATTAATAAATAGAACTTCATTCCCCACCCCTCCACCCCTTTTGTTGACACAAGCTTTTGGAACGAGCTTTATTTGCACAACATTCTTGACTTTGATCATGGGTTGAACAAGTACTTCGGGCATTTCTATATTCTCTTTGGAAAGCATATGGTATCAGGGAAAGGGGGCGGTACTGGAATATGGAACAAGATTTAATTTCTTTCTCACAAAGAAGGTTATAAAAAGATGGTACGTTGGCAATCTGTGTTGGTGTGTTGTGGAGACTCTTTTTTTTTTTTTCCACAGCATACCTTGCCAAAGTTTAATTTTTCAAACCACATATCAGAATATGATAGTCTGACCAAACATGCAAACCATGACCAGAGAGCCGGCAAAAGTGAGGGTGGAGTGAGAGAACTTTCCCTTACAGCCACTGAGTCACCAAAGCTTTTCTGTTTATTCTTTTGTAGTTGTATCTTTATTCCAATTTCCTGTAAGTCTGTTCTCATCTTTTTTTTTTTAGATTTTATTTATTTATTTGAGAGAGAGAGAGAGCGCACGCACAGTGGGGGAGGGGCAGAGGGAGAAGCAGGCTCCCTGCTGAGCAGGGAGCTCAACGTGGGACTCGATCCTGGGACCCCAGGATCATGACCTGAGCTGAAGGCAGACACTTAACCGACTGAGCCCCCCAGGCGCCCCAGCCTGTTCTCATCTTTTTTTTTTTTAATTAATTTATTTGACAAAGCAAATGAGCACAAGCTGGGAGAGCGGCGGAGGGAGAAGCAGGCTCCCTGCTGAGTGGGGAGCCTGATGTGGGGCTCCATCCCAGGACCCTAAAATCATAACCTGAGCCAAAGGCAGCTGCCCAACCGACTGAGCCACCCAGGCGCCCCAGTCTGTTCTCATCTTAATCCTGATTCTGCTTTTGTGTACGTGGCCACGTACCGGCCACGGTGCTGTGTGGATAGGCGTAACCGGTGTGCTTCTCCTGTGGGAAGCAGACCCTCTGATGAGGGAAGTACCGTGTGCTGCAGGAGCATAAGGGAAGCCACCTAAACTAGACTTGGGGAGGTCAGGGAAGGTTTCCTGAGCGGCTGAGACCAAGAGAAGACTCGGAGGTTGCTTGATGGCAGTGTTGGTGAGGCTGTGGACGGGAAGAGCGCCCCAGGGAGGGCGGGCAGCCCCAGGTGAAGGCACAGAGCCAAGGAAGGGTGGCATGCCGAGAAACTGAACTCAGAGACGTTCCTGGAACGTACTGTGGGAGGTGTGAGGGTGCTTGAGCGTGAGGTTGGAGAGGGAGGACGTCCAGAGGGTCTTGCCGACGTGCAGAAGGTCTTGTAGACCTTGTTAAAGAGCATTATGGAGCCGCCGGAAGGATTTGTTTGGGAGTAGGGCAGGGAGAATGGCTCTGGCACAGAGTGGAGAATGGTCTGGAAGGGAGCGAACGAGGCGGGCTGATGAGAGCATGGAGACCACTCCCCTCACCCGCATATGCTGTGTTTATTATGGCAGACTGCAATTTTGGGGTCTGCAGTATGAAAAGTATTTTCGTGTCCTGATTTCTCCTTCCTAACTGGACACTAACGTCCGATTTCTTAAAATATTGCTGTCAAAATGCCACTCCTGTCACTCTTTCACGCGCTCCTGCTTGAATCCTATTCCTTAGGGCTGACGCTGAGGTCCTGTTACACAGTGTTCAGATCACCTTCTGCGGCCTCTTATGGGACATGTCTCACATTTCCATGTCTTTCCTTCTTTCTAGAATCTTCCTCTTTTCTTCCTTTAACACACCACTGGCTCAGTTCCTGATGAAGTCTCATTGCCTGGTCAGGACAATTGCAAGTCAGCAAATACTTTGACAAGCAGAATACTCGACTGGGGGGATTTATTGGTAAAAAAATTCAAGCATGGTTCTTACCCTGGTGGCATTGGTTACCCTATAGTAAAAATGATCAACTCTGCTCTGAAAGCATTTAGCATTAAAATTGAATCAAATGGATTTCGTACAAATATCTGTATTGTAGGGGTGCCTGGGTGGCTCAGTTGGTTAAGCGTCTGCCTTCGGCTCAGGTCATGATCTCAGGGTCCTGGGATTGAGTCCCGCATCGGGCTCCCTGCTCCACAGGGAGTCTGCTTCTCCTCCCTCTGCCCCTCCCCACTTCATGCTCCCAGATAAATAGATCTCAAAAAAAAAAAAAAAGAACACCAAGTATCTGTATTGCCTTCCATTCCAGCTCTGTGACCTCGATCCATATGGTCCTTGACTTGAAGTTCACGTGGGGCAGAAGCCCAGGAAGAAAGGCATCACTGATGATAGCAGCAACCATTCATCCACTGGATTCAGCGTGAGGCACTGTTCGAAGTGCTTTAACTCATTCCATCCATCAAGGGATGACCCAAATCGGTCATTAAGATATATCCCTACTTTAAGGATCATGAAGTAGATACACAGTAGTTCCTCGTTTACTTGCCTCCCCGGTGTTGGGGTTTGTAAGCTCACGTTTTGAGGCCCATGCAGCCCTCCATCCCAAGCCAATCATTCACACGATTGCCAGTTTCCTAAGGTACTCGGGTCAGGTGGCAGCGAGGGTGCCCAAACCAGGGAGCTACTGCAGTTAAGGCCACTGCTTCGGCAAAGTTTGCAGTCATTTCACGGTGGACTGTGCAGGGTTTTAGTTCCTCTGTGTATCTCTTTGTAGAAATGGGAAGTCAGCAGGCAAATGAAGGCCCCAAGGGACGAGGCAGAAGGAAAGGTCACAGGGCTGATTGCTCTCCTCTCTTCCACCGCTAACCCAGAAGGGCTTTGGGTCCCAGACTTTGATTTCAGCCAAAATGCGAGAGTATGTGTCACCAATTTCATGTACGAGGACGGGGGTGGAGAATGTAATCAGAAATAGCATGGAACCTTAGTTGCTTATTTTCTTCCTTCTTACCCCATTTTTCCTTGCTCTCTCCTTTTTAAAGACTAGATTTTACTCTTAATAACAATAGTAATATGTGCCAGGTTTTTATTTTTTTTTTATTTTTTGGGAGAGAGAGAGAGAAAGAGCAGGGGCAGGGCAGAGGGAAAGGGAGAGAGGATCCTAAGCAGGCTCCATGCCTGGTGCGGAGCCTGACGCGGGGCTCGATCTCATGATCCTGCCATCATGACTTGAGCAGAAATCAAGAGTCAGACACTTAACCGACTGAGCCACCCAGGTGCCCTCATGCTAGTTTTAAAACAAAACAAAAACAAAAGCTTCCAGGGTATCAATTGTATGATCAGTTTGCCTTCCAGACTCCTCTGTGTGCAAATATGTGAACACAGGGATGGCTATATATTCATACATACCATTTAATAGAGAAATGGGATCTTTATAGATATTTTTCTTTAACTTGAGTTTACAAATTTAACTTAGTGTATTGTGAACACACTTCTATGTAAGAGTACATAGACCCACCTTCCTTTTTAAGTGTTTGCTATTATAAATGAAAAATTTTTGTACTTGTATAAATGTGAAACTGTATCTATTTAGGAAAAATTTCTAGCAGTGGAATTGCCTAATAAAAAGGTATGTGCATTCTAAATTGATATGTTGCCTAATTGCCCCCCCCCAAACTGTTGTGCCAACAGCCCCCACCAAATGTGTAGGAAATCCCCCTTCTTTGACACTCTGGATATTTTCAAATTTTTTACCTTCTCTAATCTGAGATGTGAAAAGAACACAGGTCATTGTTTAATCAGTGTTTCCTCTTTTCAGGAGGAAGCAAATTGTAGCAAAACAAGCTCTTCTCATGAGTCTATCTCTAAAAAATACACAGTATGTCCAGTGCTAGTACAGTTTCAACTGATTTTATAGCCTGGTATCCACAGTACTGTCAAGTTAGAAAAATGGGTCCTATCAAGAAAAGTGTATTGTATTTTGGAGACATGAATGAATGAGAACATAATGCTTATAATGTTGGCCTAATGTTGGTGAAAGATAAATTATCACACAAAAAAGTTTATGTTCCCTGATAAGATGTTACTATCTAGGAAAAGGAACTTCTAAAAATGTAGACAAGTTGAAGCCAAAGAGGTTGCAAACTAGAAAATTCAGTGAACTCTAAAGCTCCACTTTCTATTTAAGTGCATCAAGGATTAGTTATGTGGTAGCTTTCAGATAGACGTGGCACCTCTTGGGATCAGGCTAGACCCAGTCAATGCTCATTTCTGTAGAAATACATAAGCTGCGTGTTAACCAAAAGCCTCAGTGGTTTTGAAGCATTTCCCACCCCCAGTAGGGATGTCCTTTTGGTTTGACTCTTTTGGTAAGTGTTTGTGAGTTATTAGCCACATGAATGTAGGGTGGAGGGTTTTTATTCTATGTCTTTGACCCTCAGCTTATTCATCTGTTAAAAAAAAAATCAAGGAAGGACAAGAGAGGCCTTTAAGTACCTGCCATGTAATATGTAAAATGCAAGAGTACTGTTTTTTCCCGTTTGCTCTTGCCCTCCAGTTTACACATTAAGAAACCAGTGCAGGGGCGCCTGGGTGGTGCGGTTGGTTAAACGTTCCATTCTTGGTTTTGGCTCAGGTCATGATCTCAGGGTCGTGGGACTGAGCCCAGTGTTGGGCTCCATGCTGAGTATGGAGCCTGCTTAAGATTCTCTCGCTCCCTCTCCCTCACCCTCCCCACCCCAGCTCTCATGCTCTCTCTCTCTCTCAAAAAGTAAAGAAAGAAAAAGAAACCAGTGCAGAATTAAGTTACTTGCCCAAGATCCATAGTCTTAATTCCTGAATCATAAGGTTGTTTGGACGATAAGAGCAATGTTTGTGAAAATACATAATATACTGCCCAGGACATAGTATGTGTTCCCTTAATTTTATTTGTTAACATTCACAGTGGTTGGGCCCCATAATTAGATTTTCACTCAAGATATTTGGGAGCGCCTAGGTGGCTCTTGGTTTCAGCTCAGGTCGTGATCCCAGGGTCCTGACGAGCCCCGAGTCAGGCTCTGTGCTCAGTGAGGAGTCTGCTTGAAGGCGCTCTCTCTCTGCCCCTCCCCCAACGCTCTCTCTCTCTCTCTCTCACACACACACACTCTCTCTCTCTCTCTCACACACACACACACACACACACACACACACACACACTCTCTCTCTCTCTCTCTCTCTCAATAAATAAAACTTAAAGAAAAATTTGGAAAGTGGCCATTCAAGGATAGTAACTAGGTTGGATTTCAACAAGACGGTCAAGAGCAGTCTTGGATATGCAAGTCTATGGATTTTTTAAGAGAAAGAAAAGGAAGACTGACTCACATGAGGGCAATTAAAAGTGAAAGTAAGCACCACCTACAAAACCCCCTGATTTCTAGAAATTTGCTTTTTAGGAATGGTGAAAACATTCCCGTTTTTGCAGAATAAAGTCTTGGGGGAAAATTATGAGATGAGGGATAGTTGCAAGTTTGTTACCACCTCTCTTATAAGTAGAAAGATATTCTGATTTTGCTGTGGAGTTGGTGAATAAAATCAGTTAAATTAATTTTGAATATTACAAGATAGCTCACATTCAACCTAGTCACTGTTAATCCAGCTTTTTCAGAGTTCACGTTTCTTAAATCTAATAAATTCTCTTTTGTAAATGTAGCCAAGGAAGAAGTTTGCTTAAGGTTTAAGGTCTTTTTTTTTTTTTTTTCTTTTAAAGATTTTATTTATTTGAGAGAGAGGGGGAGAGAGCCCGAGCAGGGGGAGGGGCAGAGGGAGAAGCAAACTCCCCACTGAGCAGGGAGCATTAATGCGGAGGCAGCGCGGCTGGATCCCAGGACTTGGAGATTGTGACCTGACCTGAAGGCAGACGCTTAACCGACTGAGCCACCCACATACCCCAAGCTGAAGGCTTATGTCTATGTTAAACTGAAAGTAAGTCGTTTCTAACCAGTAGTCTGTGTAGAGAAAAAAATATTCTCTTGAAGAAACTAACAGCATCACTGTGGTTTAACCATTTTGCATGCTGGCTTTGTAGGTTAGGTCCTGTAGGAAAAAAATGTCATTGATGATGAGTTAGCTTGTCTCATTTAGACAATGTAAATGTTCTTGAAAAATTTCAAAAATTTAGATAATCATTAATGTTGCTGTCATTAATTTTCATTAATAAGATTTTATTTCACTATAATTTATTCAAACTGGTTTAAATACAATACAGATATTGGGGTTTTATATAAAATATAACGTAGGTGATTCTTGCTTTAAGGAACATTAAGATCTGAGATTTGGTGAATGGTGTAAATTTTTTCTCTTTTTGGCTTAAAAATTTGTTCGTTTGTTACGGAACTGTTCAAACATACAACAGAGTTGAAAGAATTTTAACAATGAATATCTATATTCCTCCCACCTCTTAGATTCCAACATTAAATTTTTACTGTACTTGCCTTATCATGCATCTATCGTTGTATGGATAAAACGGATGGATTCTCACTGTGCATTCTCTAGTAGAATGAAGGTACTATGTTCTTCACTGTGTTTACCTGGGTTCGTTGAGTGGATATATTTTATGCAGATAACTTGCATAGCCCTACATCATGGCTGAAGGGGTCTCTTAAGCCTTTGTTAATTTGGGGTTTGTTTCCTTCTGTAGTGCTGAGACCTTCTGTGCATTCTGGGAGAGTCAGAAAGGCTGCCTGAGAGTTCAAATAGGGACTCTTTAGGTACACAGGAGGAAGATGAAGAAAGTGATAAATGAGTTCCACGGAATCTCCCGATGTTTAATCTGGGCTGTGCTTATTCTCGCTGCCTGTCCTGGGCCTGTTGGCTAGAGCCTTGGGGCCAGCTGAGGGTGGGCAGTTCTGAGGTCTAATGTTTCTCTGGAGGAAATGGAAGGATGTAAACTTGGCAAGCCTTCTTATTTTTTTTCTCCTGGAACCATCAGTTGCTTTTCTGGGTATACTGTGTTGTAAGCACCTGGCACACAGGGCTCTCTTTGGAACTAGCTTGAGAACTGGGGCCCCCTCTGTTAAGAAAGGCAACCCTGCTGGGATAAAAGAGAGAGCCTCTGAAAGGTCAGTGGGAGAGTTCTTGAATTACTCGTGTTGAAAGAAGATCCTTCCCAGGCTCATGCCTGTTCCCTGTTCTGATTGAGCTTCCAGTCTAGCAGGATTGATTGATTCACTTCGTTGTGAGGACTGGATCTGTCTTCATCATTTCCAGTGGGTTTCTCTACAGAACTATTTCCATCACTGAGTTTCTCAATTTAGGTGTTTCATGATCAGTTGAGATAAAGATAGAAGTGTTTGATCGCTTTTGCTTGGTGGGAACTGGAGGTACTTTCGATTGGGGGCCAGATTTAATCTCCCATACTGAATGACTGTTCTCAAGCGTACAAGGTGGATCTTACTACCCTTTTCCAAAAACAGCAGCAGCACTGTTTTGGGTCAAGTATTTAAAGGATCTCAATCAGAGCTTTAACTTTAACACTTCAAGCCTTCTTAGGCTTCCTTTTCAGTTTCTTTTGGAACTAGCTAAATGCGTGCGTTCTCTATGGAGATGTTGGTTAGAAAGGAGTCCTTCCTTCCTATAGAGATCATACTTTTGAATATTACTAAATAACTTAAAGGCAGTGATGATGAACGGAACTTCCTTGATTCCTTGATTAGACTCGAGGGCATGGATTGTATTGAACTAGAGGTTCTTGGACTTGGTTGCGTGTTGGAGTCACAGAGTTTAGAAACACTGAGGCCAGCTTAACAGGACTGCAGGATGCAAGATCAATATACAAAAATTGATTATATTTCTATACACTAACAGAGGAAAATACGATAATGGTGCATTAAAACAACAGTTAGTCACAATAATTTCAAAAGGAATAAAATACTTAGGAATGAATTTAACAAAAGAAGCACAAAACTTATACTCTGAAAACTACAGAACATTGTTCAAAGAAATTCAAGAAGACTAAATAGAAAGACACTCGATATTCATGATCAATACAGGCATACTTAGGAGGTATTGGGGATTTGGTTCCAGACTTAACAAAGCAAATATCACAATAAAGCAAGCCAAACGAATTTTCTCATTTCCCAGGGCATATAAAAGTTATGCCTACACTATAGTCTTATATCATAGTCTTTTAAGTGTGCAATAGCATTATGTCCAAAAAAACTATGCACTCTGCTTAATTAAAAAATACTTTATTGCTAAAAAATGCCTAACCATCCTCTGAGCTTTCAACGAGTTACACTGACCAACAGATCCCCATAACAAATATAATATGTAATGAAAAGACTTGAAATATGACGAGAATTACCAAGGTGTGACACGGAGGAAGTGAGCAAATGCTGATGGAAACATGGCACTGATAGACTTGCTCGATGCATGGTTGCCACAAACTTCAATTTGTAAAAACGTACTATCTGTGAAGCACAATACACAAGGCATGCCGGTATTGTTAAGATGGCCATAAAATGAATCTACAGATATGAATCCTCTCAAAATCCCAAATATCTTCTTTGCCCAAATTGACAAGCTTATCCTAAAATTCATATGGAAAACTGAGGAAAAAAGAAGAGCCAAAAGAATTTTGTAGAAGAAGAAGAAAGTTGGAGAACTTGCTTCTGGTCTTCCAACTTACAATAGCACTATAATAAAACTGTGACACACTGTCATAAGGATAGACAGATAGATCAATGGAATAGAATTGACAGTTCCAGAAATAAATTCTGATGTTTACTGTCAGCTGATTTCCATCAAGGGTGCCAAGACAGTTCAAAGTGGGGAAAGAATAGTTTTTCAATAAATAGTGTGGGGGACAACTGGATACCATTTGCAACTGGATACCATTTGCAAAAGAATGAAGTTGGAGTGTTTCCTCATACCGTGGACAAACATTAACTCAAATGGCTTCTGCCTAACGGTTAGAGCTAAACTTGCAAACTCTTTGAAGAAAATATGGGAAGTAGAAAAAATTTCATGACCTCAGATTAGGCAAAGCATGAACATAAGAAAAAAAAATAGACTTCATCAAAATTAAAAACCTTTATGATGGACCTCTCGGGAAAATGAAAAGATAACTCACAATATGGGATAAAATATTTGCAAATCATATCTGATACAGGACACCTGCAGAACATAAAAAGAAGTCCTATAACTCAGTAATAAAAACACAAATAACCCAATTAAAAGTGGGCAAAGGATAGGAATAGACATTTATCCAAACAAGTCTGGATCAAAGAAGTCTCCCAACTTTGCGTGCCAGTCACAAGCACTTTTGATCAACTGGCTGTAAATCATAGGTTCCCATGACCTCCTCCTTGGCTTCAATTAACATGCTAGAGCAGCTCCGAGAACTCAGAGAAGCATTTAACTTACGATTATTCGTTTATTATAAAATGCTATAACTCAGGAACAGCCAGAAGGAAGACATGCATAGGGCAAGGTGTGGGGAAAGAGCATGGATCTTCCAAGTCCTCCTAAATATAGCACTCTTATCAAATCTCCATGTGTTCACCAACCAGTAAGCTCTCTGCACTCAGACTTTTGGGTTTTTATGGAGGTTTCATTCCATAGGCATGACTGATTGAATCAATCACCGGTGGCCAATGATGTAACCTCCAGCCTCTCTCCCCTCCCTGGAGGTCAATGGATAGGACTAAAAGTTCCAACTCTCCACTCACAGAGTTGGTACCCCTGGCAACCAGTCCCCACGTGACCTAGGGGCATTCCCAAAGTCACCTCCTTAACAAAAGACACTTTTTATCTCTCCCACCACTTAGGAGATGCCAAGGGTTTTAGAAGCTCTGTGCTAGAAATAGGAAGAATGTATTTGTATTTCTTATTACAAATCATAATATCACGGCTGCCCTTCCCATTAGTGTCCCATAGTTTCCAGTGTTTCTTGTCCCTAGAAACATACCTGTCTTCTATCCTTTTCTTCAAGGCTCTGCCCTCTGCCAGGAAACTACTACCTCATCTGACTATCCTCCTGTCCTAATCATTTGTGAATGGTGACAGGATTATTCTAGAGACAAGGTTTTAATCAAAGACTTCTAAAGGCTAAAATTTCTGATAATGTTGACAGGTGGACTGAGTGGAGAGAGTGAGACTTTGGGGGGGCACATAATTATATACACCTAATTTTTTAGAGAGAGAGCACACACACACACGCACGCATGCACACATGCAAGATGTGGGGAGGGGCAGAGGGAGAGAGAAAATCTTAAGCAGGCTCCACACCCACCATGGAGCCCAACACGAGGCTCGCTCCATCCCCAGGACCCTGAGATCATGACCTGAGCCAAAATCAAGAGTCCGATGCTTAATTGGCTGAACCACCTAGGTGCCCCTATATCCACGTAATTTTTAAGTCCTAATTGTAGTAAGTGCTACAAAGGAGACATAAAGAGTGTTTACAGTCTTGGAAGGGTTTTAAGCAGATGACAGAAGGGATCAGATTTAGATTTTATTAAAGTTCCTTCTGCCAGCAATGTGGAGAATTATTAGAAAGAGGCAAAAACAGATACAGGAAGACTAGTGAATGGACTAAGGCAGAAACCCAAGTAAGAGGTAATGGAAAGTGGTCTAAGGATGGGGCAGAAGAGGCTGATAGAGGTGAATAGGCCTAATCAGTACTTAGGACATGGGATGGATAGGATTTTGGAACTATTAAGTCACCCAGTAATGTGTTTTGTAGTACCTTCTACATGTTTTTCTGGAATCCATCGGAGAATAAGACCATGTCCCTGTACTTCTAGCTGAATTTCTAGTGGGGCAACAAGATAATACACAAGTAAAAAACATTAGGTAATAGAAAGTGCTATGAAGAAAAATAAAGCAGGGTAAGGAGGCCTGATAGGGGAGGGAAGGTTGGCCTTTTTAGCCAGCAAAGGCCTATCTGAAGACGTGACATTGAGGGAGAGCCCTGAATGACGTGAGATCGAGCCATCTGGGGGAAGGACATTCCAGGGGGCAGCGGGGGGAATGGCACCAACCAAGAAAGAAGGCCTGATTCGGGAGCAAGTGTGACACGTCGAAGAAATAGCGAGCAGGTTCATAGCCCCAGAGTAAAGGGGGAATGTGGTAGAAATGAGCTCAGAGCAGTAGCCTGGAGTCAGAACAAGTAGGACCGTGTGGGTCATGGAAAGGAGTTGGCGAGGCCATCTGAATGAGATGCACATTCACTGGAGGGTTTGGGGCAGGAGAATAAAATATGATTTATATTTTAGAAAGATGTATGAAGAGCACCTTGACTACTGTGTGGAGTAGAGACCAGCAAGAAAGCTATTGCAGAGGTCTCCGGAAATCCCTCACCCTTTCTAGCAAGGGCAGCTCAAGATGGGGACTTGAGTTTGTGGCAGGAGTGGTGGGAAATGCCTAGTGTGGGGACATGTTTTGGTTGTAGAGTTTGAGGAAAAGAGGAATCAAGGATGTCTTTGTTTTTGTTTTGGCTGAATAACTGGGTAATTGGTTCCTTTTACTGAGATGGGGAAGACTGGGGATGTGGGGAAGCTGTGTATATGGCGGAAGGTGGATTCAAAGGCTCTGTTAAGTAATGAGGGCTTGGTTAGACAGCCAGGTGCAGATTACCTAGTAGGCATTTACTGGATACAGGGTAAGAGAAAGAGGTGTCCCAGATGATCCATACATCTCTGGGTTGTAGAGCTGGATGGATGGAAATGTCATTCACAGAGATAGAAATTGCACGACGAGGACAGGGTGTGGTGGGGGGGGAGAACAGTCCTTACTATTATACGTGACACTTCATGGCCTAAAAATGTTTTTTATGTTCTACCATACTGATTAAGTGGGAACGTTGACTGTTTAAAAGGAAAAAAAAAAAAAAACTGTTTCTTTTGGTGGGTCATCCGGATTTTCAAAAAGTTCTGCTTAAAACATTTCCCTTAGAACTTAGTAGCTGTTATGAAAATTGCATATTTAGGCATCTGTTTAATGCTATTATTTAATGGAATGTAATTTCTTTTTTAAGGAGATGGAAGTTTATTGAATACACCACAAGGGAATAGCAGACAGGACAGCAAAGGAGAAACTGCCAGGAGGCAGTGGTGGGAGGCTCTAGGAAGGGGGGGAAGTGAGAAGGTATGGGAACACATTGACTTTTCCTGTTTTGGTACCAGTGCCCGGTTGTAAGCAGCCCACTGGTCAGCTAGAGCCTATGGCTGTTTTGAAGTGGGTCACCTAATGAGCCTGTTTGCATTCAGCCTGGTGGTCGCGGCGGGCCCTTGCCCCTTACTTTGGTTCCCATTGCTCCAGCCTCTTGCCTAAAAGCAGGCTCTACATTCCCCACGGACCGATCGACAGTAACACATCCTCGGCATTTGGGTGGAGGTCTCGTCTTCAGTAGCTGCTTCCTGCTGGGCAGGGGCGGGGGACACCCTGTCCCCACCTAAACCTGTTGGTCCATCACGGATTCTGTGCAGTTACAGACCAGAGCTTGGTATCAGATTCATGCGCTGATAGGCGATTTAAGTGAAACTCTTGGTGGCTGGGTCCATGGGGCACAGCGGGAGGGGACCCTTGGATGCGGGCACAGGCTGGAATCCTTGTTGACTCATCATCCTTGAGCGGGGTGGTTGGATTCATGCCGACGTGGAGGAGTGCCGATGTGGAGGAGTGTATTTTGCCTGTAGATCAAGATGGTGGCCAGACCCGTGGGAAGAGAGGAGAAACATGAGGGCCCGAAAGAAGCAAGGTGGCTGAGAGTCTGCCACGAGTCAGCCACGTGTGCAGATTCGCCCTGGACGAGCTGCCACTGCCAACTGGGCTGCAGGCTGGGGGACCTCCAGGGGGCAGCGGGAGAGCAGAGAGAAGGGGTCCTTCGCCGTCGCAGGCGGGGACAGTCTGACCTTTAGACCACACTGGGGAGCCGCCCTGGCCAGAGACCTTCAGTTGTCCGGGAAGTACTAGGGTTAGACGGCTAAGGCCAAGGGCTGGACAGCACAAGGAAAGGGAGTGTGGGGGGGTCAGATTTCTCCGAAGGGCCAGAGGGGAAATCCCTCACCCTTTCTAGCAAGGGCAAAGCCTCACCTAGGAGTCACCCCGGCCTGAGGTCCTCAGTTCCCCCACAGAGTACTAGAGTCCGTCCGGTGCACCCAGGGAAAGTCCCAAGAAATTCCCGGAGAATCCGGGGAGAGGCCAGCCCCCCTGCTCGGCAGAGGTTCCCCCGGAAGGTCAGCAAATGAGGGGTGACCGGATGAAAGAACTCCCCCAGGGCACAAGAGAGGAAATAGAAGTTTACCGAATACGCTGCGAGGGAGCGGTGGGTAGGACAGCAAGGCAGAGATGGTCTGCCTGGAATGTAGCTTTTTTTTTTAATGTGACTAAATGATGGTAGTTTTTTTTTTCCCTCTTTCTTTCTGTTTTTATTTATAGTCAGATGAAACAGATGCCTGTTTCTTCCAGAACTGTTACCCATTTACTTAGGTTTGGTTTGCAGAGGGGTTCCTTTGAATGTTTTTGCTTCTTTTGTGCTTCAGCCAGAGGTACTGGGGAAGAGAGGGAGAGCTTGAGATTAAATTCTTAGTGAAAGCTGATACAAGACATAGAACGAATGTAAGGTGCTGGAAAATTCAACAAGAAGCAATAACCAGGGCTGGTTGTTGTTCCTCTTGGCTTCTGACTAGAAATGCACGCTTACAGGGAGGGAGTGGCAGGTGCCTATGCTGTCCCCATACTCAGTCGCTTGTGCGACACATCTCTATCTTGAACCAGTTTCTTAGAATTAAAAAAAGGGCATGTAGGATATATATATATGTAGCCCGTGTGTGTGTGTGTGTGTAGCCCGTGTATATAGCTCTAATATCTCTCCTAAAATATTGTGGCCAGGAGAGTCTTTGTTGGCAGCTTCAGAATGTACTGGTTTTACACGTCACAGATGCAACACCTAAGAACGTTACATTAACAAATAGAACAGGGGCACCTGGGTGGCTCAGTCTGTTAAGCATCTGCCTCCGTCTCAGGTCATGATCCCAGAGTCCTGGGATCGAGTCCCACGTTGGGCTCCCTGCTCAGCAGGAAGCCTGCTTCTCCCTCTGCCTGCTGCTTCCCCTGCTTATGCTGACAAATAAATAAATAAAATCTTAAAAAAAGAAAACAAACAGAACATCTATGATTAACTCTTGGGAAAGCTTCGATTTCAACTTTACAAGTTTGCAAAAGAAGTTGAAATGCCTTTTTTTTTTTTTTTTGGCCTGTAAAGACTCACATAGTCTTTTTAGTTTCTATTTGACTCTAAGCTTTTTCTGGAGATGCAAATAGTTCTAAAGGGAGGCTGGAATGGAGGTGTGTATGCTGTCCTGTTGCAAATATCTGTTCTGTTTATGACGCTTCTGGACCACAGTGGCTTAACTGGTTCTCTGAAGGGAGTGGAGAAAGGACAGTCTCAGAAGGTCAGAGGATTAACATTTCCCCACAAAGTTTTTGATAGAAAGTCTCAGATCAAGTGAAGCGGAGTAGAAATAAAACCAAATATTCTGCAATTTGTGAATTTTTCAAAGGGCACCCGTATGTAAAATTTCAGGTTTGTGTTTTGTTATGTGTATGGGTTTTTAAACCCTGTGAGGTAACCATAACAGATACTATCGTTTCTGGTTTTTCAGTGAGGGGAAGCAGGTCTGGGACACAGCCTGAGTAACTTTCCCATTGTCACTTGCTAGTGTGGCACCATGGCTAACGCCCAGATATTCTGATAGATGCTTGTTGCACAACAGTTCACTTTGTTTTCCCAGATACCTTCCCCTTCAGCCTAGAGACCGTATGTTTTTAGAGTCTTTCTGCTCACATTTCAAGTGGCAGCCGGGGAGATCAAGGTGGTCACCCCGGCATTTAACGTTCTTAGGTGTTGCATCCGTGACGTATAAAGCCATCATGATGCCGGGGTGTATGTGGAGCATACACACCTCCATTCCAGCCTCCCTGGACTTTGCATCTCCAGAAAAAGGATGGAGTGCAGAGAGGTCCTCAGAACGGAGCCGGGTGGACAGGGCTTCACATCATTTATTTATTTGTCCTTGTGTGGGGCGCTCCTGTTTGAGAGCCAGCTTTGCTCCCTCCTCTCAAGTGTTGCGTGTGCACCGAAATTCTTCCCCTTGTCTCCTTGATATGGCTCTCTTCTGCTTCCCAGTCTTAGCACGAGTGACCATGTCTGGCACCGAAACTGCTAGAGCAAGTGATTGTTCACCCTTTTCTCAAACAAGAAAATAGGTAAAATATAGCACCTATAGTGCAGGCAACTATAGGAAGAGTTCTGCAAGAGGACCCCTGTTCCCAGATATCTTTTATTCTCCAATTCATACTGAATCAGGAGTATTTTCTCCATGTGTTTAAACATCGTTTGAAAATATTTTTCATGATTCTTCAGTGTGTCATCGTATGAATTTAGCATCATTTATTTACATGTTCTTCTATTTTGGATATTTGGGTTACTTTCTCATTTTTTTCTGTGATGAAAGGCGTAGGGGGAAGAAACGGACTCCTTGAAGAAGGGAATTATTAAGTATGTGAAGAAATACAAATTCGGTTTAAATGCTTTGCTCTAGTCATTACTTCAATAGTACATTGTAACAGTAATTTCAGTCAGGTAAATACATGCTTAGTTTCCTGAAATAATGCCATTGTGATATTCGTTTTATTTTCAGATAGAGAAAGAGAATAAAGACGGGGGTGCCTGGGTGACTCAGTCGGTGAAGTGTCCGCCTTTAGCTGAGGTCATGATCCCAGGGTCCTGGGATTGAGCCTCATGTCCGACTCCCTGCTCATCGGGGAGTCTGCTTCTCCCTCTGTGCCCCCCACCCCACTTGTGCTCTCTCTCTCTCTCTCTCTCTCAGATAAATAAAATAAAATAAAGAGTTTTCTTAGATAAGTCAGTGCCTTACTCTTATAATTGACCCTTGAACAATGCAGGGGTTCAGGGCACCGCCTGGCCCCCCCTTGCAGTCAAAAATCCACATATAACTTGATTCCCCCCAAACTTAACTAGTCATAGCCTACTGTTGACCAGAAGCCTTACTGATAACATAAACAGTTGATTAATACATATTCTGTATATGTGTTATATACTGTATTCTTACAATAAAGTAAGCTATAGAAAATGCTAAAAAAGTCATAAGAGAAAATACACTTACAGTACTGTATTTACTGAAAAAACCCTGCGTATCAGTGGACCCACATAGTTCAAACCTGTGTGGTTCAAGGGTCAACTGTATTTTGATTCTGTTTGGCTAGCTCAGCATGAGAGTCACATCGTTCTACTTTTGGGCAAACCTTGAGGGAGAGGACCATTAGGTAAAAATGGAACTGGGAAGTCACATAAGTTAAAAAAAAGAAAAAGGACAAAGAAGGTTTTTACCATCCGGGCAAAAGAGGGTTTCTTCTTTCCCACATCCGTGGTGGATAAGATGTGTGAGCATACAGGAATTTGACTTGTTGCCTTGCATAAACTCAGTATTCTTAGGATGAGGTCATACATACTTAATCACCTGTCTTGCATTCTTTCCCAAGTGATGGTTCTTAGTGTTCATATGGGTGATAACTTTGGTTTCCCGAGTTCAGGAGCCCCAGGACTGCCAGTGAAGGAAGAGGAGGCAATGGTGGTTATGGGACCTTTGTGCTACTGTAAGGCAATGGGTAATTGTCTTTTTTCTTCTTAACTTCTAGTGCTTGAAACAATACCTGCAGCTGGCCATCCGAGAAGGCTGTGGGTCTCCCATTGCTTGCCCCGACACGGTGTGCCTGAACCACGGGACCCTGCAGGAAGCGGAGGTATGCACGAGTCCCATGACCTTCCCTCTTGCCTGTTGACGTTATTCCCTAGGATCTTGACTATGTACCTCCCTGCCGGAGGGAGTCTAGAAACAAAATACAGAGGCTTACTTTTTAAAGGAGTACTTTATTGCTA